GAAACCATAGTTAATCAAGCCACGAAATTTAAGAAATATAAAGAGGCAATTGCAATTTTAAGCATATACGAGTACATAATGTATTTATTCAAAGAGTGTTATTGAAAATATCTAAAACCAATAAGGTAGCGAAAACTCCGATGAAAAAATCATATGATGGTACGCGTAATACTTTAATTGATGTATTTTTTTTAACCACAAACGAACCGACAACCGATGGGGAAGAAAGGTTCTTGAGTGGCAGTCTCGTACCGGTAGGCGAAGTGTAGGGCGACCCCCCACGAGAAGGAGTGACGACCTGGTAAGACATGCAGGGAGTCGATGGATGCAGGTGGCTCAGGTCCGTGCTTTGTGGCATTCCTTGGGGAGGCCTATGTTCAGCAGTGGACTAATGAAATGCTGTAATTATAATGATGACATAAAGTGGAACTTTAGGTAGTGTCACGGAATATCAGATTTATTTAGAATTACAAGTTGGGTTCCCACGGCAATGTTGGTTTGGTGCCTGAAACTGCACTATTAGTAGTGGAGGTAAGTACTGTCCAATCAATAAAAATCATACTGGCTTACAATGTGAAGAGATAAAAAAAATAAAGGATTTTTAGTTTACTACGCGCAAATAAACTTAGATCTAGCTCGGATGACGTCATAGCGTATTGAGAGTCGGTATTGAGGTGACGAGGGTGTAAATGGCATGTGGTGCGGGGGAACGGGGTGGGATGCATATGCGCGTATCTTGACTTGATTTATTTCGTAGTACATTTTAACATTTATAATAAAAATAAAAAAAATTGAAATTTTTCGGGGAAATTTTGAAGTCCGTAAACATTCGTCGCGGAAGCACGGCGGACTCTGCTCTAAAACCCTCTCAGAAATGGAGGTGACCTGTTCCCTACAGCGGGAAACATGTAGGCTTCCCTAGTTTATCGAAATGGCTGTCATTCATGAGAAAATTATAAGTTTTTCACCAACGCCAAATAAAGATCTGTTGAAAGAGATGCATATTTTTACATAAAAGAAATATTTTCCTCTCATACACCATTAGTTTTAAAAGCTTAGTTTTAGTGAACGATATGAAATTATTTATTTCCCGTGTTTGGCCTCTCGTATCTTTCAACTTTATATTCAAGAAAGTATTCAACGGGCAAGTTCTAAATTCAGATCAGGTCACTTAATTGATACTATTATTTTTCAAGTTACAACCGTAAAACGCTCGCATTGAATTGAACAATATGCAAACGTTTGAAATTACTTAATTATTTTCACTTACATGAATATATATATATTGTTATATAACATTATATTAGTCATTAAGCATATTTTTCGCACACCTTTAATAATAATGTCCTCTAGACCAGATTCACGTCGAGTCACAACAGAGACTTCAACCAGCCATCTGCGCAGTAATGGATGATAGTGCTCGAGTGTGTGTGCAAACACAGGTGCATTCTCTATTCCCTCAGTCTCATAGTCCAATGAGATGGAAATCCGACACGACCGTAGTGATATCAGGCGCAGGAAAAATGGCTTAACGTGTTTTTCGAGGTACAGGGGAAATTTTTTGAAAAAAAAAAACAAATAATAGATTTTCACCCAACCTGGAATTCAAAACAAGGACATCATGATTGGCAATAGCGCTACCAACTATACTAGACAAATGAGGCAGTTAAAGGAGTGCCTTCATGATGGTAGCTAATACATATAGATAGATACTATAATCTTTAGGAATCGAGTTTCTATATATACTATATATACTATATTTTTCTATACATTAAAGATCTTGAAAATTAATTTGCTTATATCCGCGTAGTAAACATAATATAAGCAAATTAATTTTTAGGAACTAAAATATAATAGATTTGCGAAAAGTAACGCCGGATTAATCAATTATTTTTGTGTATATTTTACCGACAATATAGCGTAATCTTCAAATTGCAACTTTACGAGCTTTTTCATAAATAAATAAGTAATTTTATTGAGAGAATTTTGTTTAGGAATTTTATATCTTTATATAAAAATTACGTGTCACATTGTTTGTCCGCTATGAACTCCTAAACCACTGAATTGATTTCAATGAAAGTTTGCACACTGTGTGCAGTTTGGTCCAATTTGAGAGATGGGATAGTTTTTATTTTTATCATACATATTTTTCTAACTTGAAGGATTTTTATAGGAAGTCGTCGGAAGGGGCAGAACAATGCCTGCCTGGCCAACTAGTATATAATAAGAATTTACCTATGAGATTTCCGTTCTGCAGTGCTGGCTGTTTCAAATCAAAATAATTTTTGTTTGGCTAAGAATTCTAACTTTAAAGTTATTTTATTTTAAAAACATGGATTTTTTTTTCAATATTCGTAATTTGCTTATTAATTAGCGTAAAGTTTTCATCGCATTTGAATTTTTTCGTCATTACGGATACGTTAAAACTAGAGTAATTATGGAATTGAGTACCGTCGTGACAGCAACGTGGCACAAGCGGCTCGCTACATCAACGACACTTAAGCCACATATCGATTATGCGCTTCAAGAGGTCAAACATTGGCGCGCGTTCCAGCCACGCGAAATGGATATCGCCTTGGAACGCGCACCAAATTGTTCGTTGGAACGCTCAAACGTGAAGCGGGCCATTCCATCTAGCGTCGGTTTGTTATCGTGTATCAAAGTATAAAAGTATAGCACGCGCCGGTTAGGACGGTTGTTCTCATCATTCGTATGCTCGTTGCATTCCGAGCTATAGATAACGAGAGTTGCCGTAAATTGATAAAATCATATGGTCCAAATTACTGCTATGGAATAGTAAAAGTCATTTTTATCACAATAAAAAGCTCAGAGAAGATGCATTGAACTATGAAAGCGGCAGCGGCAGTACTAGATACACTTCGAACATTTGGAACGCATTTCGTGGAACGCACTCGTCATTCACGGCACGTGCGCCATAAATGACCGCGAATGGAGCAAATACTACAAACGAACGCGCCAACTTTTATTTGTTTGCCCGCTTGCGTTGTGGTAATTTCCTGAAAAATGAACGGAATTCATTCGGTCGTCCGAAAACTTTGGTCAACAATGACGAATTAAAGGCGATTGTGGAAGCTGATGATAGTCAGCCAATAGCTGAATTAGCAGCAGATTTCAACGTTAGCAACAAAACAATACTGGTCCATTTGCGCCAAATTGGTAAGGTAAAAAAGCGTGACAAATGGGTGCCCCACGAACTCAATGATCGCCAAGCAAACAAAGGAAGGAATTAGGAACCGCATTATTACCTGCAATATAAAATAGATTCTGTTTGACAATCTTGACAATCGCAAGCGCTCAGCAAGTTGGTTGGATCCTACTTCAGTACATAAAAAATGCCCTAAACTAAACGAAAAATTACCTCTAGAAAAGTGACGGTCACTGTTTGGTAGTCTAGCACCGGTGTGATTTATCACAGCTTCTTATCAGACGGAATGAGCATTACTTGTGTTACGGCCCTCCGTTGCCCCGGCAGAAGTCGACTGGGCTAGGGCCCTTAGTAGCACACTCGACTGGTAAAAGAGGGTTCGGGCCCAATGGCCTATGGATAATTATTATACTGGCTGGACAAACAAACATGATCTTACCGAGTTCCGGATGTAGGGTCGACCACAGGGCACCGTCAGGTGGTAAGTAAGTGAATGTAAAGTGGTGTGTGAAAGTGTGTAGATGTAACCTGACGTCCGATGTAATCCGAGAGCAGACACACAGGCGCTGCTTTTCTCCAAAATTTGCGATCCCTCCAGTGGGCGTTCACCAATTGAAACCTTCTGTTATTATTTCACTATATTAGTTTATCAACTTTATTGTACATTTAATTAACTTCAAATTTAAAGCACAACTTAAGAACGGTCGGTCAAAGTTCAATGTTCCATGTTCACTTAGCACAAAATTACAATAGTATACGAACGCGACCTTCTCTCGGGTCACAAGGTTTTAGCGTTCCAACCGACAAAGCAAAAATGTCTTATAACGATATTAAATGCCACACAAATAATTCGTAGACGCAAATTAATTGCAATCAAAGTTAAATTAATAACTTAAAACTCAAAGATAAGCCTCGTTATCACTTATAAGAACAAAATAAGACAACACAATAAGAGGCACGCGACCTAACGATGGTTGCGTAAATTGAGTCCTTTTTTTTCGACACGACCGCGCGGACAATTTATTCTTCTAGACTCCGGCAGGGCGTGGCCCCGCGTGTAAAACGAGCGCCGGCCGGCCCAAGCCGTCAAACCGGTTTTGAATGCAAGTTTTAATGTATTTAAGATTAGGCCTAAACAACTGTAGATGTGTACTGTGATGAACTGAACACAACAATGGAGAAGCTCGTACGTCTCCAACCAGCTTTGGTCAATCACTGGTCCCCGTTGCTCTTGTACGACAACGCATGACCTAATACTGCACAACAGATGGTCTCCAAATTACAAGAGCTGGTGTTAGAAGCTCTCCGTAATCAGCCATACTCACCAGACCTTGCGCTTACAGACTACTTTTGCCAGAATTTTGATAAATTTTTGGCGGGAAAAAAATTTAATACCCAAAGAATGAACAATTGTTGAATGTATTGGTCCAGAAGATTCCTTCACGAAGGACATCAATAAACTGCCACGGCGTTGGCAAAAATACATCAATTGCTAGGCACTTTGATTAAGAGAAATAATAAATATAGAAACAAAATCACTAGCTTATTTAATAAAGAAACGGCAATATCATACGTAAAGACCTAATATTATATATTATTATATGTTTATATTAGTAAATAATATTTTTAATAATATTATATATATATATATATATATATATATATATATATATATATATATATATTATTTACTAATATAAACATATAATATAAATATTAAATAAATGGGCTAATAATGTACTTTATCACGTGTCTTAACGGATATTCTTGTTTATAGGAGCAAATGCGGCTAAATAGATGAACTCTATGGCTCCAAACTCCCGGGGCTGACAAGATGAAGCCGGCTGGTTTACTGATATTCTGCTCCTTGCTTACGAGAACGCTATGTGTTATAGCGCCAGTAATTCCAGGTAATATTCAAACCATATTAAATACAATGACAACTTACTTTAACACTTTCGCTGTCCCGTGCACTACATATAGGTCATTGCTATTGTCTTACTATTGTGTCTGAAAACCGGACAGTGAAATTGTTAAAACACTCTAGCAGATTAATAGCGCAGCGTCTAGTTGTGTTACAGAGCCGCGGGTTTGAACCCCGCAGGGAACAAGTTTTGTTTGTAAAACGCCTCCATGATACGCGAGGACTACCTCCTACTGTAGGGTCACCCATAATCATTACTACTATTATTAGTAGGATTTTAATTAAGTACGCTAGTAAGTCGGTATAATTTAAAACATGTGTCGCGAAGGCAGTTCAACAAAAGCAAAAGCTGCTACCTCACATCAGTAATAGAAATTTGACCACATCGAATATTAATAGATTTTCTGCCAAATATTGGTTACCGGACCCAACACACACATATTTTGGACACTGTGAAATCGTTTTGGATTCCTGTTGGCCAGGTTATGTCGATCCCCTGCCATTTAAAACTTTTGTCAACAATCTCTTCGCCATTTGTCAGGGCTACTGAGATGTTTTTGCATAATATCGCTGACGGAAATTTTAAATATGCTGCTCATGAAGTATGTAATTTAGTATGAATCCTTAACTCCTGCTGTACCAGGACAGTAGTTAATTAACTACCAACACCAGCGCAACGTTGTTAATTATTTTTTAATGATACTGCTGCTCATCAGGTAGGAAAGTATTCTAGTCATCATTGAAAAAATATAATACGGGTATATCTAACAAAATCTCAATTCATTTCTCTCTAATTCTATCAAAAATTTGTGGATGTGTTATGGCTATAGGCCACTTATTACATGCTGTTTTTATTTTATAGACCTTAGATAATTTTAAATTCTATTACTTAGCTTAGTTTTATTTTTTTAATATAGAAAAGGATGACAAGCGAGCACACAGTCCACCTGATGGTAAGTGGGTGCTGTGGCCCATAGACATCGATACCTACATATCTACATCAGTGGTAGAGCCACGCGGCAGCTTAACCGGGGTGGTACCACGACCTCACAGAATACCAGCGTAAATAAGAAATTTATTTCTGCACTTCGCCTGATAAGTGCCGGTGGCCAGAGGCCCAATCCCCCCCCCCCCCCTCCCCCTTTAACATGGTAGCGTAGCATGGAGAGTATCAGTACCCATGGTGACGGAGAATTCCTCACCGAGCATCACACACAACCTACCCTACTTTTTCTGAACGTGGGTACTCAGACTGCCCCGCGTATTCTCGGGGGGGGGGGGGGGGGGGAGTATTCCGCTTAAGACGAAACCTGCTTGCGGCAAGCGGAGCACTAAGACAAAGGCAACCCCTGCCAAGCCTTCTGTGAATTTCTGCATTATCCGTGGACTTCATTCAAACCTTAACGCGCCGTCCACTATTGGCAGAGACGGCTAAGCCGGCCTTGCTCTTTCTAACCTAGTCACAGGTGTCCTCTTTTTTTATAGGCAAGTGGGTGACACCAACTTAAACAGACGTCTAGACAGAAAAGAAATTCTACCACCTCATGTGTAATGTTTGCGTAAATGTAGGAAATCTAAAATTAATTAGGTTAGCTACAATTATTTGTAAAGAATAGGGTAACTAATGAGCACACAGTCCACCTGATTGTAAGTAGTTGCTGTGACCTAGAGACATCTACATCTATTCTCAATAAATACTTAAAATGTCTCATTTCCAGTAAAAGGGGGCTTCTCTACACTACCTACCACAGGAAACACAGTAATGTAAAACTGTTTCTTATTTTTACGCTGGTATTCATGGTGGTATTACGTGTAATATTTCTCGGGAAAACGTAGCCGAGCATCGGAACAAACTTGTGCCTGAGTTCGAGTCTTTGCTGAACAAAGTCTCGGATTAGGGGCGACTAAATATAGTCTAGTTAAATCCTAAGAAACAAAAGTTTGCGCGTTTACCACAAATAATAATCCCTTTTGTCGTATCTCCTCAGTTTCAAGGCACTCCACTTGTTGCTACAGCCAGTATCAGAATCCTCGGCGTTGACATATTGAGTGAAGTGCAGTTTCGTGGCCACTTGGAATTGAAGGCCAAATTAGCCTCAAAAAGCTTCGCGTGCTTAGCAGGGCGGGACAGTATTTTATGCCGGCACACCGCCTGCAATTTTAAAAGGCGCAGGTTCATTCCCATCTCTGGGCTGGGGCTCCCTAGTGCCAGCTCCTTCCACTTGACCGAATCCAGCGTACAGATGTTCGAATCGTCGACGACCAAGTTCTTTTTGATCGGTTTGGCTCACTGGCACTGCGTAGAGATGTTGCATCTCTTAGCGTATTTTATCGCATCTACCACGTGGAGTGGTCTAAGGAATTGTTCGGACTAATTCCAGCTGCTCAATTTCACCATCGCACATCGCGACAAAATTCCTGACCATCTATACCATCTGGATGATTGGCCGTCCACCAATTTGCGATTTAGATGAAGTTTTCTTCCTCGCACAACTTCTTTACGCAATCGATTACCATCAGCGATTTTTCCGAACCGATACGACTTAGGAACCTTCAAGAAAAAAGGCTACTCCTATTTTAAAAGGCCGACAATGCATCTGCAATTTCCCTGGTGTTGAATTTGTTCATGGACGACGGTAGTCACTTACGTACTTAGGTGATCCGCATGTTCGTTTGCCCCCTCTCCTACAAAAAAAAAGCAAAATCCTCGTTGTGAAACAAAATGTCAGCAAGGATAACTTAAATGGAATGCCTCGTTTCCAGTGGGTCTACGGTTCTCTACAACACAAAAACGCTGGTATTTTACGCTGGTATTCTGAGATCCTTCCCCAGTCGAGCCCACCCATTCGTACTACAACTGTACAATTAACATAGCTGCAGCATGGTTCTAAAACGTAAAAAATGAAGTAACGTGTTAAGTTTGTACTCTGTTATTTGATAAATAAATCACAGAACAAAATAAAAGACAGTTTCTAATTTCGCAAATCCAATATCTAAAAGCAATAAAGGAATTCTACGTTCCAAAGGAGACAGCTCCTACGATATAACGATGTGTCTTGTGACGAGACCAAGGTTCTTTGTTCACGTTTGTGTATTTTGTTACAACTTGAATTGAATGAATTAATATCTCCTTATTTATGAGTTTCGTGTAATTTTATTAATAGGATTTAAAGCGTAGTAATTAAATGTCGCTGTATAGCAGCGATATAAAAGATACCGCCCCCACCACCCCATTTCGTTTCATGGGTGTCGCAAAAGACGACTAAAGGAATAATAAAAATGTTTACTATTGCTTCAAAGGGATGGCGATATACCCATCTCATTTACATCAGATCCGTGGTAGCAAGTTACCGTTACGTGGACTTTAATAGGCTGTAACGGTAACGCCGTTACAGCCTATTAAAGTCTACTGCTGAACATAGGCCTACCACATAGATTGCGTCATATGGGGATATCTGCCATAGTTGCCACGCTTGGCAACCGGGTTGACAACCGCAGTTTTTTTTTCAATTTTAGTCTGTAATACTATGATATAATAAGACGCTGCTGCCCATCTCCTAAGATGTTTCCCTCAGTCGCCTCTTACGACACCCATCGACGATATCATACCATGTGCAATAAAATTTATCTAATTACTACTGAATAAATGATTCGTTTTTAATCAGTAGCTAAATTATAGTTTACTATTTTATTAGTGCTGCCGTCTAAAATAAATGTCACTTTGGTAGTATACTATAAAATTTAAGGCGGCGCGGCGTGTCCTAAATTATACCCGCTTCTGAAATTAAATTGCTGATTAATCTTAATTAACTTTTATATTCAGACTTCAAAACCGGTGACAAGAAGATAATAACTGGTCCCTTCTGGCATGAAGTATTCACGGAAGTATACGAAGATCCCGAAGAGGAAGTGTCCACTACTACTTCAGAGCCCCTTCCATTCTTCGAAGATCCTATTACTAACAATGTGACTGCACAGCTGGGGAGCAGGGTACATCTGCATTGCCGTGTTCATGATTTAGGAGACAAAACTGTTAGTATTTTATAATATTATTACATGCGCTTTTTTTCTTCTTCACTCACTCCACTCTACTGTCTTCATTCTACTGCTGCAAATGGAAATAATAGGGACGATTTGCTTTGATCGTCACGCTTGGCAGGTGGTTTGTCGATGGCAATGCCAGACGTCTCGTACCTTAGGCGATGTGTTTTTTTTAATTTCGTTAATTATATCAAAGGTAATATTTAGAGAGAAAAAAAGTAACGTAAAAGTAATTAAAGAGAAGTACAAATAGTAGGCTTTTTCAGAAGGTTTTTTTTTAATTATAACGAATTACATCTCTCTCTCTCTCTCTCTCATTTTGTGTTATCAGCATTATAGGATTATTATCATCAGATCATCATCATCATTACGGCCTGTCAAAGTCCACTACTGAACTCGGACCTCCCCCATAAATTATACCTTATAAGGGGATAATTACAATAGCTTACACACTTTGCACTTTTTTTGGTACTATCTCTTGTTGAGATTACCTCTGTCGCCTCTTACGATGCGTACGGAATGATATGGGTTATCTACATTTTAATACACGGTTTAACAGAATACATGACCCTATACCTTCTACGGAGGTCTTATTAGGTAACTTATTGTTACACCCATATCGTATTAACTCGGCGGGACTATTGCTACTTTAAGTAACTGATCCCTTGACTTAGACTAGTTACTCTGGTACTGCTACAATTTACCTAATATAGGATTTAATTAAGTCCTTGCAACAGAAGAATACGAGTAAATGAATAAAAATAACCACAACATTGTCAATTTAAGCGCAAATCAAATTCATATTACTTTTAAGTATTTTAAAATATTTTGTACTTATTTTTTATCTCCCTAGATATCCTGGGTCCGTCGTCGTGGCGAAGAAATTCACCTTCTTTCCTTTGGCCGCCACACGTACTCAGCTGACTCAAGATACTCACTTGCGTTTGAACAACCCAACGATTGGCGGCTCCTCATTCAGTACGTCAGCGAGCGAGACGAGGGGTTTTATGAGTGCCAAATCTCCGCACATCCACCATTGGTGCGCCGTGTTCACCTCTCTGTAGTCGGTAAGTTTTCTTATGATTACGCATCACTAAACTATTTTTAATCTTAATAGGGATCTGGATTAAACGAACAATAGCTAGTTCCTATGCTTAGGTATAATACAATATTTCATCTTAAATCTATTTCTGTCGCAGTGACGTTATCCTAATAATAACATACTAATAAAATACTAAGCCCCCTAAACACTTTTACTTTGCAACTTTATAAAAATAATAAATCCTATTATAAATTGTAGTAAATATGTGTCACCTCCACAATGACCTATTGATTAATAATGATAAAAATATCGACATATTTAATAATTGATTTAGATATACTTCGTAAATAAGGCATTTAAGGGTTAAAATTTAAATGCAAATGTAGGTAACTGTACATTATTTTAATAACGATTTTTCTAAATTTTCCAGAACATATTCCGCTATACCTAAGGGTTATAAGTATTTGCGCTGTAAACTCGTTACTGTTATCTGTTACCTAATATCATGTTGTGTGCACATGTTTTGGAATACCATCCAGATTATAACTTTGCATTTATTATGTTCAATTGACGGCTCCGTGGCGCAGTGGCTTAGCAATGAGTTCATGCGCTGGGGGTCGCGGGTTCGAATCCCGCACGGAACAAGTATTTGTATGGCCTACAAATAATTGTTCCGGGTCTGGATGTTGGTCCTTGTGCAATTTGTGTTTGTAAACTGCCTCCACGATACAGGAGAAAATCCTAGTGTGGGGGTAACGTTTTTTTTAAAAAAAAAAAGAAAATACATATACAAATACAAATACAATTGTTCATGTTTAGGTTTTATTCTGTTATTTGTACCTAAATAAATAAATAAATTAGAGAATAAAAACTGCGGTTACCAACCCACTTGCTAACCGCCCTATGGCAATGCGGTAAGGTATCGTTTATGTGATAACGCTTCCATGTGTAATTGTTTGTTATTGTCTAATGTGGCTTTGTTTTCCGATACATAGCCATACATACATTCATTTCAGATGTTAATCACTCAAACACGTATGGTTGGCATTTGATATTGCTTCATTCAAAGTGATAAATACATTTACAAAATTTTAATGGGCGATTACGGCAAATTATTACTGTGAGAGAGACCTATGTTAAACAATGAATCTTTTATTGGTTGTAATGGATATGACTTATAAAAGGTGTGTTGGTAAAAATGCAAAACAAGGTAAAAAAGTTAATCACGATATTCATGTGTAAACATTTTCCATTAGTGCCTTCAACAAAGTGGAGATATTACAGAGAGAGAGTAATTGCTTAATTGAGCGCTAAGGTAATAGAAGCTCAATTATTTTCACCACGTGAGGAAAATTTGCAATCTAATTAATAGAAAGAATTTATATATGAACAACGTTTATACATGATGATTTGACTGTGTTTCTTTTATATTGTGTATTTATTTAAGAATAAAAGTAATTCCTTTGATATTTACTATAGTGATGAGAATTGATAACTCAAACGTAATCATTTGATAAAACATAGATAGAGAAAACGTAAATTAGGGGTTAATTAAAGTACAAAATGGCAGTTGTATATAGAAAAATTTAAAAACTTTTTCTAACCAAAGGAAAAAACTATTCGATCGAAGTATTTACCCTTATTATTTATTAAACAGCCATTTTTGTCATTTAAAGAGATGATCATTTATGCCTTTGCGATAGAACTTCAGGGATCTGAACTCTACAAAGTCGATGAAAGCATATTGTACTCCTTGCAGGAAATTGATAAAATTGCGGAGAAAATGGTGATTGACTGGGGTTTGGTCTTGCGAGTACAGAGACATATGACATATGGTTTTTAAATGCAGCTTTTGTAACGTTAACATGCAGTTAAGCAGTGTGAGGTTTTTCTATACCATCGAGAATTGAAATTCTTCATTAATTGCTAAGATTGATTGGCGAGTCGGGGTTGTGTCTCTAAGAGTTTTGTGATCATTGTTTAAAGCTCTTCACAAAATACATCTGCTATTATTTATACAAGGGATCCTAAAAATCTATTGTGAATTACTACTTCATTTGTTTTAGGTTATTGTTCCATATCCAATCCTCTTTTCGTTATAAATGTTTATGTATAAAATTAATTCATTTTTGTATCTACTCTTCAAAATAAGGCAAGTTTCAACGCGTGCTCTCTATGCAGTTAATTCATGATACACCAAATACTCAAGATCAATTTAATTTACTATTTGGCGCAAACGAGTAATAATTGAGAGTAAACTAACACCAACCCCTAACGTTAATCTTTGTTTTTTTTTATATGGATCGACTTTTGAAAGTCGACCTAAGTGCCTGATCTTCCTCGTGATTTATAATTCAAGTAGTTTCTAGTACTATGAAAGCGATTATACCAAAGACGTACATTGCATTCGCTATTCGTATCGCCTCTAAACATTGCGAGCTGTCTCTGCTGTTAGTTTTGTGGCGTCTGTGACACTACCACGTAAGTCGTTTGCGACTGATGTGGTAGTGTCAGGGTTAAAGAGTATTTTGTAATATTTTAAGTGAATAGCTTTGTATTATTAAAAACCTGACGCGTGAAGACGTTAGTTTAAATCACTTATTTCCACTTATAGTAGTAGGCGCGTTGCCTAACTGCAGTTATCGGAACACATTTGCGCAAAATAACACAAACATCTCTGGATTCTTGTGATTGCCTCACTGTCCCTATCTTACAAAACCTATTAAGAACCTAAGTTTATAGCGGATACGGAAAAGTTAGGGTTGAGAGGATGTTTTCGTGTGTGCACATAGATTTGTAGCGGTATATGGTGTATTATGCTTGTGGCAGGCTGATAATATTCGGGTATTGTGGCCGGTGTCGATATCGTTAAGGAGGACACACATGTATATAATCATCATTATAACCCTTCACATAAGCCTCCATCAAAGAAAGCCACATACGCTTCTTTCACTGTGTGTATATGTTATCGATAGAATGCCTAATTCGTTAACCGTTGTACACAGCTAAATAATCTGCAGATTATCGGGTGCGAGCTGTTAAGGTGTGAAATTTTACTTAAGTAGCAAAGGAAATTCTTCTGCGTCCATACAATGTTCGCCTAAGAGCCAACAATGAAAGAAAATACCTTTTTAAATTCGAAATTACACATAATTGTATGTAAGAACAATAACTCCTGACGGACTTTTCTGAAAACTTAGATATTAGCAGTTATTATAGAGATTTTAATGTTATGTTTTATTTTTATGAAACATTACTGTTATTTCTAATGTAAGCAATTCAGTCTTAGCCTAGCATTTATACGTTAAATAAAACTCAGATTGGGATTAGGTATTTATTTTATTCATTCCAAATAAATACAACTTATACAGTCTCATTTGGTTAAAGTCGTTATTCAAGCCAGATAAGTCGCTAAAGAAAAGTATCGATATCCGTTGTTCAAGCCGAGTCCTAATTTATAAAAACTTATGGCATAACAAACCAACTGCACATTGCACTTAGATTACGAAAACATTTGCAGAAATGTATTTTTTGTTTTTTTCAAACGAAACCAAAACGATCGCACACCTGACGTCTATTTATTTTTAGTTTTGACGCGTTGTCATTTGTCAACGTTATTGATTTTTTTTGCGTGGCACAATGCTGATTTGTCAAGGAGAGTACAATAGTATTGTTATTTTTAATGAAAACAGATGATTTCACTGTACCCCAGTTCCTTGTGGCATATATTAATCTCATTTATATTTTAAAATATAAACGTTTTCATAATATATTTAAGTTTATGACAACTTTTGAAATATGTGAGTAAAGGTATTGTGCGATTGGTCAAAGATCGCAAGAGGCCATAAACGCAGTACATTCGTATTAAAAACTAGATACAAAGTTCAAAACCGAAAAAGTCCTTTTTATTTTGATTTCACAATTCAGAAGTGTCCGTTACTAAAGTGTTATCTAATGCATAATTAAGGATAAGAATTTTGGTAATTGTCAAATACCTATTGGTTCTTAGGCGAGTTTAGACATTGTCCTTTATGGACTTTATCTAGTTAATCTGCATATTAACGGATACTACACCGTTAAATCGCGGAAGACTATTGTATTATTAATTTATAACGCTAATTAGTATATTTTAGGAATGATTGTTGTCTTTTAGCTTTGGACTGTTTTTAGTTATTTTTTTAGTTTAAAAGTTGTTTTGACCAAGAATGTTACACAAGACTACTTTGGATTTATAATTTTAGAATTTTTTAAATTAAAACATTGAATAATTTCATTATTATATCTTATATCAATATAATATACACGACTTTGCCCTCAGCCACACCTTAGCCTATTGTTGACTTACTGCTATTCCGCAGATTACCTAGGAAGTGTAACGACTACTTCCTAGGTAATAGGTAATTATATTAGAATCGTAAATCTACAGAATCACTAGTTAATCTGCACTATAACTGATTTACATACTTTAGCGTTAACATAAATATATTACTTTTTGATTTGACGTAGCATTCTATTTGATTATTTTAGTCATAACTCTTATTAAATAAACTCTTATTAAATATGGTAAAGTAAGATACTTGTAACCTCGATTATCATTAGGAGCATTACATCGTACCTATATGTTTATAATGCTGCAATGTTGTTTGTAAACATTTTGACAAGGGTCTAAATTTGTTATCTTAAAATATGTGCCTAAGTAGAGGTTTTAACTTAAACTTATGGGCTTGTGACAAATAAATTATGTAAACAGATACTTTACATGGAAATGGTGCAGTAAAAGTAATTTTGTTGCCTCTTAACACAGAGATTGATGTACCATCATTTTAATAAGACTAACATTTGTTTTTCTCCATCAATTTTTTTTTAAATTTTTAGTTTGTTAGAAGTAATATTATTAATATATTGACCGTTTAGTGGCGGTGTAAAAATACCCATTACTCTATATCGTTCCGATGGTATGGTAATAAGTGACAGAGGGAAATAAACTAGGAGATGGGCAGCAGCGTCTTCCAAATAAAAGCTAAA